TCACTCTTTGGAACAGAGGCACCTAAATTGAGCCAAAGTCCCATTTAAACATTTATGAGACAAAACTGGATCTGGCCTTAAGTATCTGGGGTGCCTCTATGCAAGGCTGAACTAGGCTACTGCACAGTAAGCATGCATGTCTACATGTGCACGTGCTAACTACACAGTAAAACCCCTTAAATCACACTTAAATTTGCTACCTGCAAATGCAGGTAGCAAATTTAAAAATGCGGGTAGCAAATTTAAGTGCAATTAGTTACTGCTCAGTAACAAACATGTAGACGTGACCTGAGAGCAAGTTTGCTCCCAGGTCAGCCCAACAACTGGGGGGCCAGCCCCAGGGCTCCAGGCTGGGAGCCTCTCCTGCTTCTATGACAGCCCCCATGTCAGGCTCTAAAAGCCTGAAGATATTTTCAGCCCTGGGGCACACCTACAGGGAGCCTGAGGGCACTCGAGGGCCTGTGTCCCCCTGGGCAGGCCACAGCCTAGCTGTGGCAGCCTGCCTGTACCCCTGCACCACTGCCTGCCTCCATACTGCCATGTGGCTGGCAGGACCACCCCATCCAGGGCTGCAGGGTGCAGCAGGCTGCTTCAGTCTCTGGCTAGGCTTTTCAGCCCCCACGGCCAGTTGCAGGCAGCTTCTGTCTGGCAGGGCCAGCTCCACCTGCCCACAGTGTACCCCCAGCAGCCTGCCTGGAGCCTGTAGGTTCTGTGGGGCATTGCCTCTGCCATGTGGCTGCCTCTTCCCTGCCATGTCCTTGAACTGGGAGCAGCAGGCAGTTCTCCAGGCCCAGCAGCTCAGGTACAACTGCACAGGGGTCCAGAGAGCCAGTGCAGGACCAACGATGGCATCCTCCCTGACAGCAGATGTGCCCACAGCTGTGCCCATCACCCAGGGCTCCAACTGGACCAAGGAGGAGACTTGTGACCTCATGCTGATATGGGGTGAGGCAGAAGTGCAGTGCCAGTTTGAGTGGGATGGCCGCTCCAATGTGTACATCTGTGAGGCCCTGTCAGGCAGATGTGGGAGCATGGGCACAATCGGTCAGTGCAGCAGTGTTGCACAAAAGTCAAGGCCTTGCAGGTACAGTGGGTTACCATGACTGACGACAATCATTGGTCCAACAATGCTTGTAATTCCATGCCCTTTATGCAGCAACTGATGGCCATCCTTGTGCCCTGGGACCCAGGCCACAGCCATGCAGTATACAGCAGCACAGGTGGCCTGCGCAAGCCCCTGCCCCAGCATGGCACCCAGACAGGAGGCACAGCTGTCCATGACACTGCCAGCTGCCGGCAGTACCAGCTCCTCAGGGGGTGCCCCCAGCCAGGCACCTGCACACTGTGCCCCATGGTCTGAGGACAGCAGCCAGAGCTGTACGCTGTTGTTGACAGGCAGGACTGTGCAGAGCTGCCAGCCACGTGGTAAGGCCCACACTGGGAGGAGGGCCCTCGCTGCCCTAGCCCCCTCCCCGCCGCTGGCTCTGACACTGCCCCCAACCCTGTCTAGCCCACCCACACTCCCCTGTCTCTGGGTCCCCCCCACAGCATGCAGAGAAGTGGGACACAGTGTAGAACTTTATTGAGCAGCCTGTACCCCCACAGCTAGGTGGGCATGGGCCTCTTACATGCCAAGGAATGCATCAATGCCAGCAGCAAAGTCCTTCTCCCCAGCGGGGGAGGGACATGTAGCACAGCCACAGGTAGCCCTGAAGATGGCAGCACAGGGTGTGAGGCAGCCCAGGCTTGCTTCCCATGTTGTCATAGCTCACAGTCGTATACTAGGTGCTCAGGTATGCCCAGGGCACCATGAGGATCAGCAGTAGCAGGGTGTAGTGGGTTGGGCACCCCTTGGTCTGCACAAATGGCTCATCATGCACCACCTGGGGCATGCAGAGCAGGGGCATGCTTGGAGTGTAGTGGCAGCATAGCAGGGGGCTGGCCCCCGTGGCACCTACCCAGAGAAGCCCCCTGCTAGGGGGTTGGGGGCATGGTCAGCTCCTCATCCCCATTGTCCAGGAGCCCTGTGCCCCCCAAGCCCAGGAGTCACAGCTTAGGTGGCAGATCAGCAGAGCATTTGGCCTGCAGGAGGAAAAGGGGGGCAGTGAGGGCTGGTGCTGCCAGAAGCCTGCCCTGTCCTGCCCTGGGAATGGGGCAGAGAAGGCAGGCTGCCTGCGGCCAGCAGCCAGCAGCCCACCAGCCACAGGGGAGCACACAGGGATAGGGAGGCTTTGCTAACAGCCACCTAGGCCATCAGGGCCTTCCCGATTGATGGCTGCCTGGGCCCGGGCCTTCCCAACTAATGTACCATGGCCCTTAGACACCCATGCATGACTGACCCCCAATCTGAAGCCAAGCAGTGCATGGCTCCTGGTACAGAGTATCTTATCCCTGAAATGTTGAAAACTTTGACAAAAAGCTTCTGTCTCATAGCTCTGTAGGTCCTGCAGCTAGATGTGGTGGAAGAGACCACACTTGGTAGTGGAGATGCAGCCTCAGGGTTGCCACCACCCACACCCTGGGTGCAATGGATGTGCTGGCTCCACCAGAGGTGGATAGTGAACTGATGACAGTGTCAGAGGACCATCTGGAGGGTTCTTGGGCCTGGTGGGCAGAGGACATCACCTGTGAGGATGCGCGGGGCTGGGCAAACACAGAGTTTTGGGCACAGCTCCCGGCCCTGGAACATGAGTGGCTGGACTTGCTCAGGGATCAAAATGACATCTTGGGCTGGGCAGTGCACGCCATGGATGATGGCCAGTGGGTGCTGGACACCTTTCTAGCTTTGGCAGTCACCTTTCTGTTGCCCATGGCCCAGCCCCCAACCCGAGCCCTGCCTGCCCCCTGGCAGCTGCCCATCACCCAGAAGCAGGTGCCTGCCTGGGCCTGGGAGGAGAGTCTGGGCCACCTCCAGCTACCAGGAGCCTCTGGCCCAACCCCACCCTGGGTGCCACACCACCCAGCCCCCCCCCCACTCACCCTGGCTCATGCGCCCAGGTCTACTGTTCACCCCAGCTCCATACAGATGCAGAGCCAGAGCTGCCTGCAGCAGGACCAGGACTGCACACCAGCCCTGCAGGCCTTGGACAACACCTATCAGAGGAGGACCCACTGTTGCCCCTGGGTGAGCCCTCCATCCACTGCACTCACCGTAGCATCTGCACCTGTAGGGAAATGGCCAGAGGCTGTGGTGCTGGCCACCTGCCCCTGGGCTGTGCCCTCTTGGTGCCTCCACTCCATGGCTCTCACTCTGGGACACCACAAAAAGCACCTTTTGCCCAGTTTGCACAGGGAAAAGGGTTTTTTTATTGTTGGTGGGTGGGGTGGGCTGTGGAGGGACCCTGTTTGTTGGGGAGGGAGGGAGAAGGGGAGTTTATTATTGGGAAGGGAGGGAAATAAAAACTTGTTCTTCTGACATGTCTGTAGTGAGCTTGGTGTTGGGGTGGGCAGGTGTAAGGGGTCCGTGGCTGGTGGTGCCAGTGGGCTAGAGGAGGGAGTGCTGGAGGAGGTAGTTGGCTAAAGCCTCTAGCCCCGATGCTTTGGCCCTGCTGGTGGGTATATGGCTCTCTTGGTACCTTGGAGGGTAGGGGCCCACCACTGTTGCTACCCCAGCAGGTGGTGCTCTCACTGCCAGGTTAGTCTTTGAGTTAGTGTTAAAGCTACAGTGATTTCATGTTACAAAAGTAGGAGCACATTTTTCATGGACTTGAGATGGGCACAATAGGATCACACATAGGTACTTAATTCCACTAAAATGTCTAACAGATGGAGTAGGATCTGGCCCTTAATCTGTTTTGTATGCTTGTGAAATGTCCCTCTTGTTAGTATTGTTGTTGTTGAGTATTTACATGATGCTTGTGCCAACAGGCTACAAGCAAATATGTGTCCATTGTGTTAAGTGCTGCACAAATGCATCGTGGATGATGGCACTTCCTTGAATACTAGAGCACGAGACTAATGTATGCTTTCAGTGAACATTCATGTAAATAGCAAAAAATACAGCTGAAGTAGATTAGCTTTTAAATCAGGAAACAAGAAGAAATATTGGCAGCATTTTCCAGTTCTTGTCATAGTGATCTGATATTTGTTCTGGTGACGTGAAATGTGCTGGTGACCCATGTCTCTGCATATTAAAACATGAAGGATGTACTAACTGTCCTTTACTGCTTGGAAAATCTCAAACCCAAGTTTCTGCTGTTCACTTACAAAACCTACCAACCTGCACATCAATCCCAAGGCATGTTCTCAGAAGGAAATGAGAAGGAGCTGCAAATTCCATAGATGAACAGCAGACTTTGGGTTCTGGGACTGCTGGTATGGCAGATACAGCCCATTGTTGTCTGAGCACATTTCTTTAGAATAACCCACCAGCTTGTAAAAAACTTCAGTTAGGTTTTGCATAGCACTTCTGATTAGAATTGAGCAAGCCTGTGATAGTTTGATTGACTCCTATTTGCAGAAGCAAACTCAGTTAAAAAGGGAGAGAGCTTGACCCTAGTTTTATCTGTTTCACACCTGGCTCCATCTCTGATGGGCCAGCTAAAAAACCCTGGGGATTCAAGCCCCCCACACTTTATTTAAAGTCAATACATGATTACTCCAGATAGATTTGGCCCTTAACTGGGACAGTGCTTTTCTTCACGCAAATGGGGGGGTCTTTCTTCATGCATATCATACTGATTTTTCAAGTGTTTTAGGTTCAGACTTCACTTAGGGTCTGAATGGACAAAATAACTGCACAAGTAAAAACAGGAGGGGGCTTGCCATGCATTACACTGATCTACTCCCACTGTTTTGTGTCTGCTGTGTGAAGCAGTGGCTAAACAGTGGTAATAGCTCAGGTATTTAATTCAGAGGTAAACTTCCCTGATTCATTTTTCACTTACTTACAGGTTAGAAATGATACATGAAACAGTTACTGCTGATCAGATGACACATGGAACAGGTAAGCCTGCCTTCCCACCCCCTTTCAACTGAGTATGATTGTTTCATCTGTCTACATCCTAATTTTAAGTCATTCTTCTCCCATACATTCTGTTCTTCTAAACCAGTGTTTTATGGTAATGGAATGAGGGCTTATGACGCAGGTATCTCCCATTCTGTTAGGCATTACTCAGACACTTAGTAAGACACCACAGAGCTTATAGCATACTTCCATAGATGATCAAGAAAGGTGGCATGCTACTTTAATGGCATTCCCTTACCATCATGGGATGGATGCTCCTTTTACATATATAACTGAAGAAATCGCATGTGCAAAAATCACTAGGTCACTCCAAAAGCACTAGGAAAAGCTGTATTTCCCTGGCCTAAATCATTATACCTCCTCTGCTCGGGCCTGTAGGCGAGCTGTTAGGAAGGCCAAGTCGGGCATGGAGCTCGGACTGGCGTCCAAGATTAAGGATAACAAAAAGTCCTTTTTCAAATATATTGGGAGGATGAAGAAGGTGCCGGGTAATGTGGGACCCCTGCAGGATACGCTGGGCAATCTGGTGGTTGCGTCAGAGGAGAAAGCGGACCTCTTTAACCAATTCTTCACCTCCGTTTTCTTGTGCAGGGACCGGGACTTCCCTGCTGTGATAGAAGCCGGACTCGAGGGGATCGCCTTCAGACCTCAGGTTGGGGAGGACCG